AATATATCATCATCACATGTATGTTTTGGAATGTACTATGATCACACAGAAAGATCTAAAACATAGTATAAACTGGTAAATATTGTAATCACCAAAGATATATTTTAGTTAAGACATATACATATAAGAATATATTGTAATGAACTCATGTAGATCTAAGAACTTATTATAATCGATACTTTATTAGATTAATAAAAAATAGTGGTAAACATAATGCATATCTCTTCCTAACAATTTTCTTTCTAACTTCTGATAAATGTATTTGCATTTTTTTTAATGTCGGTGAGAGCAGTTCTTTTGTTTTAATTTATACAATTTGTTTGGTTAGTAAACGTATTAAATGACTTAATGTTAGATATAATTTAAAAATTGGTTTTGATATATGAACATCTCGAGATACGAACAACAGTCCGAAACAAAACAATTTTGTAAGTCGAGTTAACACTGTTCAGAAATAATAAAAAGTAAGTTCTCTTCAAAAATACGCTTCATCCCTAATTTAGGCGCGACGAGCGGTACAAAGTCAACCGTATATTACAATTTATATTTCCCACATTAAAGTTACAATTTACAATTAGTGTCCATTTACACAAATAAAGATTTTTAAAAAATGCCTCAACACATTCAATTTTATTTCAACACAAATAATCATACAAGTTTAAAAATTACTCCTCAAACAGACAAATGCAGACAATAATAAAAAGAATAAGAACAAACTTCGAAATTTATTTGTGTGAATTTAGAATGAGCAATTGCATTTTATATGGCAAGTAGTATAGCATAAAGTAGAAAAAAATGTAAATAATTTGTTTATTTTTAACACATTTCACTTTCTATGTTTTCTTCACACAACTCCTTATATACAAATTTAGAGTGTTACTTTTTCTAGTCTTTCAAAAACAAAAATCAATATCCATACTGATGTAAAACAAAGGAAATGTTTTAATTTAAACTAACATTAAAATATTCTCTTAATTCAAATAAAAGTAGCGACCACCGATTACTTACTTATGACGATCAAATTTTAAGTTACAATACTTATTTCAATAACAAATAAATAAAAGGCTAAAAAAATGAGGAAAAAAAAGTATATAAAAAAAATGGATCAAAGAAACTTCGGTACCTAGTCTGGTCTAGGGTTCCTCTCCCAAAATTTTACTAAGAGATAAACATGCATGGAAATATTGCATACCCTGTTTTTTCCGGGTATACACATTTAGAAAACAAATTTAATTTTTAAATTGTATCTATTTATTTTTATTACATCACATAACACATTGTCAAAAGTTTCGCTAAAATGCCGAAATTAAAAATCTATTTAAAAGTGTTGACATATTAATCTTTAGAGATTTTTTGAAACGTTTCTCAAATGTTCTCAAGCCACGACCATGTTCATAAGAAAGCAGTCACACTTTCCATGTTATATTGGGAAAAAAATGGCTGTTAAATAAGGTAAACTCTTAGAATGGAAAATATATTATAATTTACTTTTGCACAATAATGAAAATGGCGACATGTTTGGCATATGGTTGAAAAGCTAACACAAAATTTAAGACACTCAATACAAAAAATAAACATTATAAAATGGCTACCTCTTCACGTTTTTGTTAAGCCGAACATCCAACTAATTTATATTTCAAACCCCCTTCTAGATCATCTCCCGGGCGCTGTTACGCTGGAGACCTGTGCTCTAATAACTTGATTATCCCGAGGTTTTAATTTGACAAATTGACTTGAATTATGTGTTTTTTTTATTTCCAAAAAGACTTATATATTTAAAGATGCGTGTAGAATCCTCTATTTTAAAAAAAAATTCGAAAAAAATCCCTTGTTTCAAGTTTTTAGACACATTTGCTTGTCTAATGTAGGTGATCCATATTTATGACCACTCTGTATATATATATAAATATATATAAATATATATATATATATATATATTTATATATACAGAGAGAGATAGAGAAATGAAGACTTTCCTATATAATTGTTGTTTTTTTTTAAATTGCAAACTGTATATTAGTAAACAGGGAAATGTATTACTACGAAACAAAATCGACACGTTGTTTTATTAATACAACTGTTAATATTAAGAAATTATATTTGATTTTGAAGACACACACATACTATATTTTGTTATTAGGCCATAATGAATTAGATACAACAGTAGAACATTTATCACAAAACATATCTTGCAAACATTGAATTGTGAAATTATACATTAAATAAAATATAAGATAACTCATTTTAGTGAATCATTCATGAAAATGCATTTTTTAAAAAAATGAGATGTCTTGTAAATTTGACTCATTGTTTCAAAGAAAATAATTACAAGCATAAAAAATAATTTTAAAAAAAAATGTTGGAATTTAAACGTTAAAAGGAACAATAACAAGATTTCATTGCAAAGCGAAGAAAATAAGACACAAAACATAATTTATATATTGTGACTGGACGGTGACTACTTGAAATTTAAGAGAGAAAATACTTTCTCTCCATATAATTAACAGTCACTCAGGTTTTTGACAAAAACTAATTTAGTTGAATTTTTTTAAATCATTATATTTTTAATAGACACGTTTTGTTTATTGTCTTAGAAAGCTATGGGAATAATCTTGTATGCATCAACTTCCGGCTGCAAGATGGCGAAAAAAAAAAAAAAAAAAAAAAAAAAAAAAAAAAAAAAAAAAAAAAAAAAAGAAAAGCGAAAAAAAAAAAGAAAAAAGAAAAAAAAAAAAAAAAAAAAAAAAAAAAAAAAAATAAAAAAAAAAAAAAACAAAAAAAAAAAAAAAAAAAAAAAAAAAAAAAAAAAAAAAAAAAAAAAAAAAAAAAAGTAAGAAAACATGGATTTCGCTAAAAAATAAGTATAGGAAATAGTCCTTTCTTAGGAAAATATGCTTAGGAATCTGGATAGGATCAGAACCTTTGTTTAAGATACTTGCACCAACATTTCGTTTACAAAATCTCCACTATCACTATGCAAAGGATAACTTCCGGCTAAGACAAGATGGTGGTATAATAATACAGAAAAAGGAAGGAATTCTTAAATTCAACAAAAATTTAGTGCTAGACTTATTAATTTAAGTGGAAAATATACGACTCTGGCCGAAATTTTTATTTCTGTTATGTATTTTTCTTTTTTTTTTAAAGTGTGTTCAGGAAGACTTAGTACCACCGATGAGGGGAAACGTTGTACTCCTAACAAAAGTTTGTCCGCCTTAGCCTTCTCCTGTGACTCAACTCTCGACTGTGCAACCCCGCAGCTGTTAGCATGCAACAGCAGCAATACCCTTGGCAACGGCTTCCACTAGCCGAGTAAACCAGGTGAGGGTAGCTGAAGGCCTCAAACCAATCGGTGATTTTGGACTGCCCACATGCTGCATGTGAAGCCTGGACGTAAACGGATCCCGCGGAGGAGACCATTTAGGTTTAACGGAGGAGATGGCGTTTAGAGCACCATGGGGTGTGTAGAGCAAGATGAGGCCCGTAGAACATAATGGTCTTCCACTGCATCCGTACCCATGTCAAATCGTCTTGACATAGTCTTTCCACTGGACACGGTGGGTCCGGACGAGAGAGTGAGGTTAACGCTGCGCAACTCTTCCTCACTTTAACAAAGTCACCTGCGCAAGTTATCAGTCATCCAATACCGGATGACTCGATTGTCCTACTCAATTTTGACGGACGAACAACGAACTACAAGAATCACTTTTTATAACCCTTGAACATGTTTTTTATAAATTTACTAGCCAATATACCAGGCGTTGCACTTGATTGCATCGTGTAAAAAAAAACAACTTCTACAGCCCTTTAATTAAAATTCAAATTAAGTTATATATAAAAAAACAATCTTTATTGCGTGTAGAAAAAAAAAAAAAAAAAAAAAAAATAATTAATCGCCTATATTAACACAAATTAAAAAAAAAAATAAAAAAAACAACTTCTACAGCCCTTTAATTAAAATTAAAATTAAGTTATATATAAAAAAACAATCTTTATTGCGTGAAGAAAAAAAAAAAAAAAAACTAAAAATTAATTCATCGCCTATATTAACACAATTTAAAAAAAAAATGTTTGTAAACCTTTCAAATGCACTCGTATAATTATAGTGCATTGATGTTAATCGAGGGGACCCATTCCGTAATCACATAAAATAAGTTTTTTTTCCTACGATGGGGTGGGCATAACAATCATTTAGATAAATTATTGAGTAAAGCCTTAACGTTTTCCCATTAATATCGATTTAAAAATGCAAAAAATATGACTTTTTAAAGTTATCAAACTTTCTGAAAAAATCTAGATTGGATATTCTTAGATTTAAATCCATCGATGTGTCAATACGGACAATGAATTGTATTGCTACATCGCTAAACCTATATTGATCAATTCTCATAAAACCTATACTGTTGACTTAACTTAATAATATTTATAAAGCTTAAAAACAGGAAAAATGAAATGGGGCCCCGAGCCCCAGAGGAATGGATTTGATGAGTTCAGTACCCTTCAGTATTTGAATAGAAAAAAAAAATAAAGTTTATGTGTAGAAGTTAGGTCATATACATGGAACAAACCCAAAAACCCACAAACACACATTCACTTTTATATCTATATATGATATGATATAATATAAAACAATTATAACACAATTGTGTTCGATAGCCAGATAAGGATCATAACATAATTAAAATAAAAGAGTTTCTATTTTGATAAATTGATCGTCTGCTCTCTATCTTCTTGATCAATACCAGATGTTATAGCTTCTTCAATTAGTGGGCCAATTACAGGAAGGAACCGAAATGTCTTACCAGCTATTTTCTTCTTATTATTTTTCCATTTAGTTCCAATTTCGTTTTCCAATCGAGTTACATGCTCATTAAGTATATCTTGATCATTTTTATTTTTTATTTTCTGAATACCTATTTTTATTTTCACAATATCATCTCTGAAGCCATTGAAATGATACTTTCTGCATGGAATGCCTAAGAGTTCTATGCGAGAAATAAGTCCATCGATCTCTTTTTTCACTGCACTAAACGCATCAACTCGGGAATCTAACTGCGTCAAATTTTGCTCACACTCCCTAAACTTCTTTTTGTAGTGATCACCAATTCTTGATTTTAACAGCATTATTTTATTCTTTATACTAGATTGAGCCAAAGAGATGTTCAAATGATTTGGTCTTGCTTCGGCTATATTTTTTAAAATGTCATCAAATTCGGATTCAATTGTTCTCTTTGTTTCTCCTTTACGTTTCTTAAGCATTTTCTTAGCATTTTCTAGAGCTGAAATTAGGTTGGTTTTTTTCGCATCGCATAATTTCGCTTCATCTATTGTTTTGTTCAATGCAATTACTTGATCTTCAAAACCCGATATTATTGCAAATATATTATCTTCGTTCACAATAATTTCACCAATTTTTACCATGAAATCATTAATTTCCTTGTTGATACCTTTTGCTATGGTCGTTTGTTTTACTTCCTCTATTTTACCATTGACATCTATGTACATTGATTTCATTATTGTCTTTATACATTCTTTAACATCTTCGTTAAGTTCTTCTTTATTAATTTTCGTTTCAAGATCAATTAGAGATATTTTAATTTGCTTTGTTGTTTCCTCAAATGATTTGCTGTTGACGTCAAGCTGACATATTTTTTCTTTCATTTCAGCAATTTTTGAATTTAATTTAACGTTATTTATTTTTAATATTAAAGCTGTTACATTGAGAATATTTTGATTAGCAGTACCAATAGCTTCGTTCAGACTTTGTAAAAAATTCAATCTAAAGTTGCACTTATCTCTTTCCTTCTGTAACTGTAACAGATCTGCTTTTATTTTCGAAACATTTTTAGCTATATTTGAATCATGTGGATTCATTTCATTGATCTCTTTTGTCACTTCACTAATTTTTAACATCAAATTATCAGCAAGGATCGACTGTTGAGTTGTTTGTTCTTTTATATGTAATTCTTCAACAATTTGAGTTAATTTCAATTTAGTTTCAAGGAAACATTCTTTAGTTATCTGATCGCTTTCTTGATCTAGTCTACACAGTAATGATTCGATATCTTTTCTTGCTTGACATAAATGGTTCCATGCTTGTTGATCTTGACAATCTGTCGTGTTGACTCTGTCCGTAATACTTTTGAATAGAGTCTTTATTTCATCATCTTTTCTTTCCTGTACTTGTTTTTTCAAAGTTTGTAACATTTGTTGAATTTCATTTAATGATAAATTGAGGTTTTCTTTTAACTCTTTTCTCAATAGCCCCTCTTCTACCAATGTCTTCAGAGATTTTAACTGATCCTCAAAATCATAAATTAATAAATGTATACCTTCCATTTTAAGGTCAGTCTGAGCGATCTTTTGTTTGACTTGTTTGATTTGTACATTTAGATCGCCTGATACTTTTAACTGCCGTACTGTATCTAGTTTGTTCTTTATATCACCTTGAATTTTCTTTAGTGATGATTTGATATTTTTTACGAATCGTTTTTCAATAAAAATGTGTTCTTTAAAACTAGCCTTTAAAGTTTTCGTGTCACTATGTAGCTTATTAAGTTTTCCAACGGCATCTTCGTCATCTAGACTAACATTGTTTAAACGTTGACATATCTCTTCTTTTTGCTCATTTATATCAGCTTCTCCTGCTTTCATCGTCCTTAGTTTAAGATTCTCCAGTTCTTGTCTAGTGCTTTCGATAGATTTATCTAGACTATCTGTAAATTCAATTCTTAAATTATGTTCTTTTATCATTGAAATTTTAAGTCTTATAGTTTCATTAATAAAGTTTATAATACTATATATATCTTTATTAGTTGGGTCAGTCTTCATTATTTCCTTTTTGATCTCCCTGATTTCAATCTCAAAATCATGAACTAACTTCATCTGTTGAAAATCGTCTTTCTTATTGCGAATAAACTGTAGTATTTTAACAATAGAAAATCTTATGTCTTCTAAAAATCGTTTTTCATTTTCTTTGTAATGAATTCTTTCAGTTGCATCTAGGTCATTTGCACGAGCTAAGTGATAATGAATAACATGCTCAACTGCCTTCAATTCATCAGATGATTCTGGATTAAACTTAATTTCATTAATAGCGGTAGTAAAATTTTCAATCAGATTGTGAAATTCGTTTTTATAATCTGGTAGCTTGGCTTCTAGTTCAAGGCGATTCTGCTCTTTAAAAGCTTCTTCAAATTTACTATGTGTGTAACCTTGGTCCAGGCTACTCACGCAATTCATTAGCATTCCAAACTCTTTCTGTTTAAGTTCAACACTTTTTGATATGTTATGAAACAGTACGCACATGTAGTTACATTTTTTAAATAATTCACCGAATTCACCTTTTTGTTCTTTGAGATAGCTAGCAAAATATTTGTTTCCATGTGCAGAATCATATAGATCTCCAAATGTCATTACAATTATGCAAGACTTCCAAATGTTTTCTTTACCAAAAATATTTTCCAGAATATACAAAGTACTTTTGTTTTCTTCAGTGAATCGATCGCCATATTTTATAACATAAATTACAGCGAGTTTTCCATTTCTTGGACATACTTGCATTGCCTTTTTCATGTCTTCACATGCTTGAATTTTAGATTCATCTCCCTTAAGTTGAGTTCCCATAAATCCTGGTGTGTCTACCACCGTTACATGGAAATCATTTCTTTGAATACACTTAACTAATATCATGTTAGTAACAGAATCTGGAGAATCCTTACTTTCAAATTCATCATTTCCTAGGATAGCATTTCCAAGAGCACTTTTCCCAACTCCTGTTTTTCCAGCAAGCAAGAAAATGTACTCCGACATCTAAAAAAATAATTGTAAAAATCTTTAGTAAGAACAAGAAAAAAACTGTGTCTCTCTGCAATCGCTTCTTTATATATATAATATAGAATGAGCTAGGCTGACTATAACGCAAAGGAAACGAAGTGATTTTAAAATATTGGATTCTTAAAAAAAAAGATTTTGATTTTATATTAATTTATGGAAATCAAATCAATTTAATTGAACTTAAAAATAAATAAATATAATTGCTTTTATTTTAGTAAATATGTAAATATCATAATTTTAAAATACAAATACATTAAAAAAAAAAAAAAAAAAAATAAAAAAAAAAAAAAAAAAAAAACAATATAAATAATTTTATTCCATTTTAAAGTTTAAGAACATTTTTTAAAAAACAGGTTCTAGGATATGCATCGTTATTACGTTTATATGGAAAACACGAACATCTCTAGTTTTTAGTGTGGTGTTAATGTTGTGAAAAATAAATAGAAATAATTAGATATAAATACGACATGCAGATGACGTCGCAGCGGGAAATAACTTCTTTAGTCTAAATTTCTAAATTTCTTCGATTTAGTAAAAGCGCGAGACAAACATGAAAATGGGTGTATTCCCTTTTAAAACAGAAATTTCAGAAATATAATCAAATGCTTGTTAAATTATTAATCAAATACAATAAATAAGTTTTTTTTTATTTTAACATGTAACAGGTTTTTTGTTATTTTGTATTCCAAAATATACGTTTCTTAAATTTATGACGTAATGTTCTGATCACTCATAAAAACAAAATATAATGATACGAATTCAAAATTTTGCTTGTTTTGTTAAATATGAAGCTACAATCCAGTTGATAATTGTATTCCTTTTTTATTTTTAAATTATGGGGTAGTGAGGGGTAGTTTATAAAAAATTATAATCTGTTGAACGTACCAAAAGATATGCTTCAAAATAAGGGAATTAATCAAATAAATAATATATTTTCTTAGGTATATTTATTTTTTAAGGTAGGAATAAGAATGTGCACATTATTACGAGGATGACAATATCTTTAAAACCAATGGTATTACATTTTTGAAAATATGAAGTTACATTCACTTTTAACAAATAAACGTTGCTTCCAAATTAAGAAGATCTATGGCATTAACAAAATTTGTATAAATTTAAATACCTATACCCATTAATATCTAAATGAAATCATTTTATATTTGAAAAAAATTGGTTAAGAGTTTCTCTGAAAAAATGAAAATACGTTTTTTCTTAACCTTCTTTAAAAAAAGACCCCAAAGGCTGTTTACAAACGTAAAAAAAAAAAATATGTAAAGCGATTTCTCTTTAGATAACATAATTATTAATGTTAAGATTTTCCGATACTATAGTAATAATAATACTTATAATAAGATATATTGGACGACCGAGCCTGAGATTTATTGACGTTTGCAACGAAGCATGAGGGAAGCCAATATTGAAACAAACGAATGAGTTCATTGCCGAACATCGCTGCAACTGGCGAACAGCAGTGTTTGAAGGAGTAAAAAAGGCAGAAGATACTCAAAACGAGGCTCTTGAATCAAAAAGAGCAATTTGGAAATAAAGAATTTATCGGGATTCAAAAATTCTCCTGCGAGAGATGCGGCCGTGATTGCCATTCTAAGATTGGCCTAGTGAGTCACTCGTCAAAGTGTAGAACTATATAGCTACTCCATCTTCTCACGAGAAGGAACAATTTAGTTTTCCCTCCCAACCACAGCATGTCAAGAAAAAAGGGTAATTAGAAAAATATTGAGTGGCGTCCCGAACATTCTCAACCGTACTCTCAAAGTCTCCTAAATTAGAGACTATCCCCGACACCCAGTGCAAAAGTAGTGCAATAGATGGGAGATTAAGGACACTCATGTGGCCTAAAAATTGATAATACTGGTAATGGTAGCATGGGAAAAAAGTTTCGTGTGGAAATCTTACTTGGTATAGTGTTAGTAATATAATGTACGACGGAAGGAGGGGTTGCTTAGGAAAGATAGCGTGAAGTGGGCAAGTCTTTGGTAGCTAGAAAAGGTGATATGAACATCGTGGAGATAAAAACGGATGATAAAAGTAAGAGGAGTAAAATGTGTGTCACGATTAACAAGCGGCAGTAAAAAGGGGTCAAGTTACATTACTGTTAATTGTTTATCTATAAGGTGAAATGCTGCTAAGGCTCTAGGGGTTAACAGAAAAAAACAAAGTCAACCGGTAATAATTATATCACTATAAATGATTAAATATATTTTATTTTAATTGAAATAGGGAACTGGAATTAGGGAAAGTTAAAAAGTTTGAGAAAAAAATTATAGCATTTTTGATAATTGTTGAAAATAAATAAATCATATCCTTCTTCAATTATTTCCATAAGTAGTTTTATATAGCGAGCAGGGCTCAACACGCTGTACATACAATTTTACAAACAAGATCATCATCATCATGTCCCTTAGTCCTTGGACCATTGGGGTGCCAAAGATGACATCTGAACTATCCTCCTCCACTCGTCTGTGTCTTCTGCACTACACACAGCATCGCCCAGTGTTAGTCTTGTCCACTCTTTGATGTTATCCACCCATCTTTTTCTTTGTCTTCCTTTTCTTCTCCCGCCTCTTGTGGTGCCCTGCAATATTTCTTTGGCAAGCCCTTTTTCTCTTGTTACGTCACCGTACCATTGTAGTTTTCGTTTTTTCACAGTCACCAGTAGATCATCGTACTCCCCAGTTGCCTGGCGAACCCTTTCTTTCACTGTATCATTGGAGATATGGTCCATATAGCAGATGCTAAAAATGCTTCTGAAGCATCTCATCTCCATCGCCTTTTTTTCCTTTCAAGATCTGCTGTTAATGTCCAGGATTCGCAGGCATACAGGAAAATCGAGAGGACTAATGAACGCATCAGCCTGATTTTGGTGCTGACGGCTATACTTTTGTCAATCCATATTTTTTTAGCCTCTTTAGTACTGTTGCAGTCTACGCAATCCTGGACATCAGTTTGGGCTTGGAGCTTTCTTCTGAGACTATTGCTCCTAGGTATCTAAAGCTGCCTACAGTCTCTAGTCTTTCGTCTCCGACTTTAATTTAAATGGTGATGCCTGTGGTGTTAATTTTCATCAGTTTTGTCTTTTCGGCACTGATTAGCATGCCGTAGGGCGACAAGGTCTTATCGAGACGCTTTACCAGGCTGACTAGCTCTTATTACTTCCCAGCCAATCCGTCTATGTCGTCCGTAAAGCGTAGATTGGTGATTGTTCTGCCACCAATGCTGACTGTCCCTTCATGCGCTTCCAGAGCATCTGACATAGTTCTTTCTAGGAAAATGTTGAATAGGGTGGAGGAGAGCAGGCTGCCTTTTCGTACTCCAACCGAGGTCTTGAATCATTCTGCGATGTGTTGTTGAGGAAGACTGCACTGGTGGCCTTATCATAGAGGTTGCATATCATTCTGGTTAGTTTTGTGTTGATGTTGTAGTACCTCATTGTGGCCCGTAAAGCAGCATGCCAAATGTCGAATGCTTTCTTGAAGTCCACAAGACGTGGTATAGTTTTTGTTGGTGTTAAGCATATTTCTCATATAGCATTCATTGGTTTAGAATCTGCTCAGTAGTGCCCCGTCCTTGCCTGAAGCTCGCCTGTTCTTCAGCAATGATTCTGTCGGCATATGATTTTATTCGGTTCAATATAACCTTCAGCATGACCTTGCTTGGATCGCTTATTAGGCTAATGGTGAGATAGTTTTTGCATAGCTTTAGATTACATTTTTTGGGGAGGGTGATAATTGGGTCCATGGTTTGGGCCTTTCCCCCTGTCAGCCATATTTTGTTACAAATATCGAATAGGGCACTTATCATTTCTTCTCCTCCTTGTTTCACCAACTCGACAGGGATATTATCCACTTTTGCAGCCTTTCCTGTTTGGAGTGCTTGGACTGCTGGTTTTAATTCTGCGCGGAGAATAGGGTAGTTATCATTGTCTGTTGCTGGAGAGACATTAAGGATCTCTGGGTCTATCTTTATCATAACCAAAACTTTTACAAATTATTTTTACAATGAATTAACATATATTAATTAAATAAATCAAAACAAATGCATATTTAAAACTCTATACATGTCAGACCAGGACGACACCATGCATCACCATTTTTCGGTCTTTGTAGAATTTTTAAAATGTGTTTTGAGTGCAGTTTCAGAGGCTGTTATGGTCAGTATATTTTAGTTGTGTCAGGGAGAATTCAAGACATTTTGTTTTATTTACTTGTTTCTTTTATGTTGGTTTGAATTCTTTTGAATAATCACTCCCTTAAAACTAAAGTAAAAACTCAATAAACGTTTTAAAGCTGAAACAAGTTATATTTAGTATCTTTTCATTTTTAAATTATCTTATGCATGTACAAATATAAGTAGCGTTTTTATAAGTAAACCCCTTCCCCCCCCACCCCCCCCCCCAAAAAAAAAGATATTTTCTTTAAACTTATATCATAACAGTAAGTGAAAACCGCAGTAATTATAATAACTTTATAAGTAAACCCCTTCCCCCCCAACCCCCCCCCCCAAAAAAAAAGATATTTTCTTTAAACTTATATCATAACAGTAAGTGAAAACCGCAGTAATTATAATAACAGTTTCAATATTTTATGAGAAATGCGGACTTGAGGCATGTGCACACTCGACAGTTGCCCATTGCCTCACTTCTCTAGGACCTGAAATATTTGTGCATATTGTGTGAAAGCGCTTTTGGCAATTTACATTTATTAAAAAATGCAGCTGGAAGTACCTTACTAAAGTTTTCATGATAGCTTTTATATTTTCAAATTAATTTCATTTCTTAAAAATGTAATATAAAAAAAAGAAATGTTTTCTGTTTAGTCGTAAGTTGTTGAAATTTAGGGATTTATGGGTATCTGGTTGTGTGTGAGTGTAGAAAATAGTATATGGTAAATCAAACATGTTTGAAT